GATATAAAGTTACCATATGACCTACAATTCTACAATTAGGAGGGTACATATATTTTTTTCAAATAGAAAGCATTTCTCCACACAAAAACTTGTACAAAAATGTTCATGGCCATATTATTCCTAATAGACAAAAGTTAAGAGAAGTTAAGGTTCAATTCCCAGCACCTACATGGTGGCTGGTGGCCGTCCATAACTCCAGTTCCAGGGGAATTTGAAGTCCTTTTCTGATTGACGTGGGCATTGCATGACATGGGTGCACTTACACACATGCAGACAATACACTCATACACATAAAATAAAAATATTTTTAAATAGTAGAAACGACCTAAATATCCACCAACAGAAGAATAAACAAAATATAATACTTCTATATCGCAGAATATTATCCAATCATAAAAATGAAAAGATGAGGGCAGTTAGATGACTTGATGGGTAAAGGCACTTGCTGCCAAGTCTGACACATTGAGTTCAGCCCCTAGAACCCACATGATGGAAAGAGAGAACCAACTCCTACAAATTGTCCTCAAACCTCCACATGCATGCTGGCATGCATGCGCATGTGCGCATGCACACATGCCCCTCATGATAAATTTTTTAAAAAGCAAAAAGTCTTAAGGAAAAGAAAGAAAGTCATAATGAAGCCTAGTATGTTATACAGATAGTATGAAATACAATATTTTATTTATCAGATTGTTCATAAATATATATATTTGTGGGGGGGAGACAGGGTCTCCCTGTAGCCCCAGCTGTCCTGGAACTCACTATGTAGACCAGGCTGGCCTTGAACTCAGAGATCCACCTGCCTCTGCCTCCCGAGTGCTGGGATTAAAGGCATGCGCCACCACGCCCAGCCAGATTGTTCATATATTTTAATTGTTTCCTATTAAATGCATTATGTGAAAACTTTCATGAAGAAAGCTTTTTTATTGTATATGTATTATAAAAATTAATACACTATTCTGATCTTTTGTGTGTGTGTGGTTTTAAACAGATTTTGCAAGTTTTATTAAACAAATATCACTAAGTTTACATAGGAAGCACCCAAATGCCATGCATTTAAATGTTAATAATGAAGTTCTCATTATTACTTTGGTGGGATGAAATACCAACTTAGTATTTATATTTTGCAGTTTTTATCACAATATATGGGCCAAAAGATTTAGACAGATATCATTTTATCATATTGCTACCATAGACATTGTTAATATATTTTTTTTTTTTTTTGTCTTTTTGAGACAGGGTATCCCTGTAGCCCCAGCTGTCCTGGAACTCACTAAGTAGACCAGGCTGGCCTTGAACTCACAGAGAGCCACCTGCCTCTGCCTCCCAAGTGCTGGGATTAAAGGCGTACGCCACCACGCCCAGCCATTGTTAATATTTTTAACGTATTATAATCGTATCATCATCAAACCTTCATAATTTAAATGTTTTTTTTATCATTTTAAGCACTGATTTGTAATTCTTCATCATTGAGAAACATTTGTCTAAGGCTTTTCACCTGCTTTATATATTTCATCTTTGATAAATTTGTTTTGGAAACAATCTTAAGATTAGACAAAAGTTCCAAGTTCTAGTACAAAGAACCCCCGCACACTAACACACACACCCCAAACCATTTGAGAGAGAGTTGCTGACACATGCCATTGTCCTTGACTGCTTTAGTATTTCTTAATACCATTCTAAGTAACTGTAGTACAGCCTTTGGGACCAGAACACAGACTCAGATGTGTCTGTCATTAATCCTCAGAGTCTTTGCCAGTTTTGCTGAGTGCCCATGGTTTTCTTTACCACAGTGGATCCCACTCTTGTCGACAGATTCCATTTGCCTGTACTCCTTAGATTCCTATAGTCTGAAATGTTACAGTCTTTCCTTGACTTTGCTGACCTTAAATCTTTTAAGGGAGAATTCATGCAGTGTCCCTCGACTGAATTTTTCTGATATTTCATTGTGATTAAATCATGCAATGCTTGGCAAGAATATCACAGAAGTGATTTTTCTCATTTTATGTGACCTATGATTTATTTTTCCCATTATTGTATCTGTTGATATTGATCACTAATGGTGTTATCTGCTAAGATTTCCCCCATGATGCTTTCTTTGACTTTTTAATTGCTTTGTGGGGAGGTAACTTGTGACTATGTAAATA